GGGATGGGCTTTGGTGATGTAGCTGTCTTTGAGCCATTTCTGCTCCTGACCCATATTTCTGTAAGTAGCCCTAATAAAACTCACTGGTTCACCAAGGTGGACTTTGGTGGTATCTGCATTTTGGTTTGTTGTGGGTTCCCAATCTAGGGTGAGTAGATGTGTGTGTTGTATATTCCCAGGAAAAGTTTTGCCACACAGTGCTTCCCTATGGGGAGGAACAGAGAAGGCAATGAAGACAGCACACATCGTTGTCCGTTATCAGATAATACTAGCCTCTGAGGTTTGTGTATTTTATGATAAGCAGTGATGTATGTGGTTGTTTCCCCTGGTTCCTAGCACAAGGCACCTAAAACTCTTGAGCTGTAAAGTAACTTTCAGATGTCTAGCTAAGGCTAGAGATGTACATAGAAAAGCTTTTGTTATTTATAATAGACCACTTTCAATAATATCTAAGTATTTGCAGATGATGTGACTCCTAGAGAATGAAGGCTGGTGACCAGAGGAACCGACCATGAGAGTGAAGAATTAGAACTAACTCTGTGTGTGTTTGTGTGATGAGTATGTATGTGTGTGCCTGAGTATATATGTGTGTCATATGTGTGCAGGAGCCTGCCAAGGTCAGAAGAGGCATTGGCTTTCCTGGAACTGGATTTACAGATGGTTGTGAACTGCTGCCTAGGTGCTTGGAACTGAACCTGAGACCTCTGCAAGGATAGTAAACATTCTTACCCCATGAGCCATCTCTCCAGCCCCATGGGTTAGAACTCTTAACCCTATACTTAACTCTTTGCAAAATACGAATCTTAAGCTTTGTGAGCCAGTTTAGCAGACTACCAAATCCGAGGAAGGGATTGTGGACCTTTGTTTCAGCCCAGAGACCTGAACTTTTCTCTGACATCTGGGGTGGGGACTTCCTGTGGGACTGAGCCCTCAATTTGGAATATGAGACCAAATCCTAGTATGTATACTGTATGCAGTTCACAGAGAATTAAAGAAAAGTTTAGTGTAGGAGGACCATATAGATTAAATGTCACACATGTGAAAAGAGAAGTGAAGTTTTCTTTTTTTTTAAACCCAGGATTCTGCAGGCAAAGGTTGCCCCATTGTGTATTCTTTGCTAACACAGAGTCTATCCTGGACACTTAGGAATGGGGAGAATGGCTGTTAGTGGGCAGAAGGGGAATGGCTGGAGACCTCCTGGCTTCCCTGATTTAGTACGATTGCCTGTGTTCACACAGCTTGGGGAAGCTTGTGGCATATTGTCTCCTGTACACCTGACACTGTAATGCTTGCTTCACAGTGGCACTGTGACAGCTGGCAGGAACTCATCATTACTCATGTGTTCTGCTGTTGCTTCAGATCCAGCAGGTCTAGAAATGAGCTCATCAGCTCTGCCTGGAGAAGCTTCCCCAGTCCTCTTAGACTCAATGTGGCAAGGATACCCTTTGACTCATGCCCCTCTTTCTGTGGGCTCCGAGGGTGCTCCCAGGGTTCACCCACTTGCTGTTTGCCAACTCATCACTGGGCAGACATTCTAGGTGGTTATTATAAGACCTCTCTATTGCAGGGGTCCATATCATGAACCCTTGGGGGTTGCCAACCACCAAACTGACCCCATCAATTTTCATCCTGGTCCCCATCATGACCCGTCAGTGGAGCCTACCTGCCTGCTGAAATATGGGATCTTTCCTTAAAAATCTTCACTCTGTTTCCAGCTGAGACCATTTAATACGTTATCTGTTGGGATTCAGAGCCGTAAAGTAGTGATTCCCAGGTTCCTCTTACTAAACTGTCCCGATCCTGCTTATGGGAGTCTGTGGAAGGCTTTGACTCATTCAGAATAGCTGGTTGCTCATGTATAATCTCATCAACCATTTTGACCTTAGCCAACTATGTCCTGCCCTTACATGCCTCCCTGCCTCACACACCACCCTCTCTACCTGGAAGAACATTCTCCTTCTGAGAAAGCTCCAACTCATCTGTCAAGACTCAATGACGCTGCCTATCCTCCCGTGTCAGTACACCTCACAGTGTCGTGATTATTTGTTCATATTTCTGTCTTTTCCAGTAGACTGTGTGGCCTATGGGAGCAGTTATCAATACTTCCCCAGTGCCAAGCCTGGCAGAGTTCAGGGGGTGCTAACTGCCTGGATTCATCATTTCCTCACAGTTATTTATTTACAAAGTGCTTATGCCAGGTACCCTGCAAGGCACTGAGACAACAGAGTACCTTGTTCCATTGGGAAAGTGGAAGTGAACACATGATGGATAAGATACTTAGGAATTGTGTACTTTAGGAGCGACGTCTAGGGAAGGCCCCTCTGGGAAGGTTCTCTGAAGCCAAGAACTTAGGGCGAGAGTAAAGCAGCCTAGCAGAAATCTAGGGAGAGAACTCAAGAGCGGAGAGGATGGCAGGTGGCAACTCACAGAGGAGGATGTGGTCTTAGAGTGAGGAGCAAATGGAAGACCAGAGCTATAGGAAGGGCGGCGCCAAGCTGGCCTGGCAGCACTGCCGTCATGGACCATGGGAAGGAAGGAAGGATTGTGTTCATTTTCCCTTCTAGGAGCAGTGAGGTGGTTTTTGGAGGGCAGTATGTCAAACCTCGTGCCCCTACGACTGAACAAGCCCTGCTTCAGCTACCTCTCCTTTCCCTGCTACCTTGTCTGTTCTAATCCAAGCTTTCTTGCCTTTCAGACCCCAGTAATGCCACACTCTGGAGCCTGCCTAGACCACTTTCCTGCTTCATGGGTGCTCTGACCCAGGAGTGTGTGGTCCCTGTACTATGACCTTGAAGTACTAGTTAGGTCCCCTGAACTCCTCTATGAGTGAATATTCATAAGCTAGCTGTGTAGTAGGTCTTGACTCAACACCGACTCCCTGCTCCCCCACTCTTCCATTCTACCCCTGCCCCTAGCCAAGTGCCCTCGCTTCTGAACTTTCTGTGGACCTTGGCCTTGTGGAATGCTGCTTTTTCCTCCATGTGCAGAGTGGCCTCCTGCAGGGGAACCAGCCTCTGAGTGTAGCTGGGTTCTTCCTCTCTGGCCCACTGCATTTTAGCTTCAAAGCTTGGCTTGTGAACTGGTCTGGCAAAGATATGTCCAGAGGTATTTATTTCCTTACTTTAAAAGCAGAACAGCCAAAGCAGTCCTTATTGTATGCAAGGAGAGTTCAATATGACTTTACTGACCCTTTGTCCCAACACCAATCTTGTGAGTTTGATGCTGTTGTCCTCATCTTGCAGTTGAGGAAGCCAAGGCTCAGTGATCACACAGTAGATAGTATATGATAGATCTTGGACCTGGACTCAGACTCATTCTTTGTGGTCTTAAATTCCTTAACTATTTCATCTCCCAAGCCACCTCTGATTTCCTTCAGAGGTCCCATGTCACAGGGGAAGCGAGTGGAGTCTCCTTCAGAACCATCTGTTTCATTCTTTGGCGTGGGCACTATGCCTGGGTCATTCAAAGGGTGATGCACATTAGACACATGTGTAGGTTGTGCTGAATGAGCAAACAATGACTCCTGTTCCCGGTTTACAGACATGAGCTCAGTATCTTCTTAGGATGACAAATGCTGTTGTAAGACCTCTCCCGTCACCCAGGAAGGTGAGAAATAGGAAATGTGAGAGGAGGCAACAAAAAGGCAGTATAGCTTCAGTGTCTGTCTAAGAGGCAGAATTAAGTACTTGCCCTGGGTGGGTGGGGATGGTAGTGAGGGGAGGAAGTCCATCATCCTTAGTGATGGGCCCTGAGAAAAGGGAGTGAGCATTGGGAAGTAGCTGGACTGGGTATCCTAGGAGGTGGTCTTTAGCCTGAAGAGGCTGGAATTTAATGGTGTTGAGTAAACAGCTAAGATAGTCAGAGGCAGTGTTCTTGGGACAACATTCTCTCCATATCTTTGCACTTGTGACCCTTCTAGATGGGACACACCAGTCATTTGGGAGAAGGAAAATTACAGTTGGAGCATTTCAGTCAGGATAACACACATCCGGGGAACGACTGTGTGGTAAGGGATACATGTGGCTCGAAGACAGTGGGGCCTTCCCCAGCAGTTAGAGCTTATGGGGCCTTGACTGTGAGCACGGAGAGATGTAACAGTTGTGTCTTGCTGTTGCAGGGGACTCTGGGTAAGTTGGTAGCTTTCTATTACAAAATGTGAATGCTCAAGATTCATGTTGAAAGAAGTATTCTTCCCAGGAAGGAGAGTGCATGGAGATGTTGGAAACTAAATACCCCTTACTAGGATCCCTGCTCCCCCACACATCATCATGTTCATTTGTAATTCTTGTTATTTTGTGTGTGCCACAGTATGTGTGTATAGATCAGATGACAACTTTTGGAATCTGTTCTCTCCTTCCACCTCTACGTGGGTTCTAGGGGTGGAAACTGATGTTAGGGTTATACAGTAAGCACTTTTCCTGCTAAACCTATCTTGCTGGCCCTGGCCTGGATTAAAATTTGTTTTTTTTTATTTTATGTGTGTGGGTATTTTGCCTGCATGTATGAAGGCATCAGATCCTCTGAAACTGGTGTTACAGATAGTTGCTGTCATGTGAATGCTGGGAACCAAATCTAGGTCCTGTGGAAGATCTGCTAGTACTCTTAACTGTTGAGGTATTTTGCAGGCCCCAGCTGGATTCTTAATGAAAATGTGTTGTGTGTTCGGTGAACACAGTATTCTACACTTAAGCATTTGTGGGAAAAGCAGCTTTCATTGTAACTGCATTTAGCACCAAAACAAATAGATAAAGCTTTTAAAGTAACTGGTTATGTTTATTGCTATTATTTTGTTCGTGGTGTCATGAGGTTTTTGTATATGCCCAAACACAACAGACAGAACACATTAAATATGTACAGTTCTTTATCAATGATTCCTCAGTACAGCTGCTGTTTTAAACCCTGAAAAATACATGCTGATGAACCTAAAGCACTTTCATGGTCTTGCACATATAATGCATACCTTCTGTAATTTCTCCTTTGTTCTGTATTTGAATTTTCAGTAGCAGCTGGAGGAGACTAAGCAGACAAAAGGAGCCATGGCTTCTGATGCTAGTCATGTGCTTGAAGCTGCCCTGGAGCAGATGGACGGGATCATTGCAGGTAAGCTCTCGGGTCCCTAGGACTGACTGACATACTCCCCCCCTACCCCCCAATCTCAGATCCTAGTTCCTTTTGTTGGCATAGAGAAAAGCCCTTTGTTTGACTAAGTTTAAGTGATTTGCATTTAAGTAGTTTAATGTACATGCCCCTCTCTCTCTTATGGAATTTTCTTTTATTGGTCTGATAGTTTCCGAGTCTCTGTTGGCTTAGGTGGGTGTACCAGAGCCTGTGTAGAACTCTGTTACAGTTTGGATCCTGGCTGTGAGGCAGTTTGGGTGCAACGAGATTGATTGTGTTGTAAAATTTTCAGAGCGCATCGTAGCTTATTACCGTGGAACTGAAGCTTGAAATTGAGCTGACTTTGTTCCCTAATCAGCGTCTGCTCATTTTCCTAGCTGTCATCCAGTGTGATGAGGAGACAGCAGGCAGTTTTGATTCACACCGTGATTACAGCATTCTTTCTCTCCTATCATTTTTAAAATTCACCATTAAGTGTTTGGTTTTTAATATCTGCATTAGTCAGTAGGGACTATCTTTAGAAAGGCTACAGTATAATTGTGGCTACGTGGGGAAGTCTACCAGTGGGCTGTTCTGGCTGATTGATTCCTTGACAGGAGTAATCAGGAAGCTGTACTCGTGCTAACAAGGCTGTTATTGCAGACCTTACCAGAAGGTCCCAGGTTTTCTTCCTGTCCTTACTGGACACACTTCGGTGCCCCTATTTGCAGAGTATGCTGCTTTGTGCTCCCCACTGTGTGAGCTGTATGGCTGGAGAAGGAGCTACAAGGCTGAGTGGGGCTTGACTGCAGGAAGTGCTCAGGACACCCGATACTGTCCCTTGCCTGTTGTTTGCTTCTCCCCATTGCAGAAAGACATCTGAGTCAAGGAGGGTTCTGGGAGTTGGAGCTTAGGGTGAGGGAGGCTGTCAGTATCCTACAGCTTCCTCATGTTACAAGATCCACTGTAACTCAACCAAGCTGTCATCTGGCAGGCTCTCAATTTCTCCATGAACAGAGGTGTCCTTGAGAGGCTGTGACCAATGTCCTGCTTTTCTAAGTCTCCATAGTTCGGGATGTCTTGTTCTAAGTTAGGGTGTGTGATAACTTGCTGAGAAGGCATCATCAAGCCAGTGGATGCTTCGCTCTTGTTCTTTACCAGTGTCACAGTGTGTAAGTCCCTACAGTAAGCCTTTAAAGTATTTCTTGTTGTATTAGTATTGCAGCTTTGTCAGTTGCCATTGTGTTGGCCAGCTTGAGTCTTGAGGCTCACCCCGTCTCTCCTTCAGAATCAGTTTGTCCAAGCACAGAAGACAACTTGTTGGGATTATGGTTGGAATTATGTTGAATTTTCATATTCATTGGAGCTAGGGATGCAGTTGGAATACAGAGCACTTGTCTGGCATGTACAAGGTTCTGGATTCAATCCCTACCTCTGCTCAAAAGAGCAAGAAATGATGTCTTGACAGTATTGAGTCTTGAGGAATGAATACACTTGTTTCCTAAAGAAGTGTGGGGTAAGCATAGGGACCAAAGCTCAATCCCCAGAACTGTATGAAATAGCCAAACATGGTGTCTTGGCTTATTAATTTCAGCATTGGGGATGCAGAGATAGGAGGGCTCCTGGGGCTCACTAGCCAGTCATTCTAGCCTAATCAGTGAGTTCCAGGTCAAGAAGAGGTCCTGTCTCAAAACATCAGGTAGGCAGCATCAGAGGACTGACTCTCTCTCTCTCTCTCTCTCTCTCTCAATGAATAGCTCACAAGGGAACTGGTGACATTGTATTAGAAATCTGAGGGATCTGTAGAGAAGCTTTCCCGGAGAGGAAACAGGAAGAATCATGGGCTGGAGAGAGTCGGTGTATATAGCTAAAAGTTGATATACCAGGGGAAGGAAAAGGGACCCAGCATAAGATGCAGAAGAGACAAATGGGATTATGGCATGGCCAGAATGGGGAGGACCTCAGACGTAATCCTGAAGGCGTGGGAGAAAATGAGAGATTTGTGGGAAGAGTGACTTCAGCTACATTTGCAGGCTTACTTGGATGCTCGGTGGGTTGAGACTAAGGGGGACAACAAGAAAAGCAGAGACCAATCAGAGCTGTATGTCAGTCTTATAGACCCTGGGTAAGTCCTTGGATAAATGTGCATGCCGTATATAACAGAAACCACCAAAACCTGAATGAGTGAAAGGGAGCTTCTGTTGTGAGAAGTGGACTCTTACCTTTGAGGACAAACTCAATGTTGGAAAAGTGTTCTGTCCCTCTTTTAATTTATCAAGAGCTTATATTTTAGCCAGATAGGATGGCTCACATCTGTAATCCCAGCATTTGAGACAGGAGGATCATTACAAGTTTCAGGCCAGCCTGGGTTACATCATAAACCTCTGTCTCGACGAATAGCATTTATTTTATAGCACTTACTATGTGCCGAGAACTGCTGTGAGCACTTTATGTGGGTAACACAGCCCCCTCCCCAGGGGGGAGCTGCTCCTTTCCTAGTCACATGCAAATATGAGGAAACTGATGCTCATATCACAGAGACAGTTTGTAGAGCTAGGATTAAAATCACGTAGTCTGCATACAGATATTCTTCCCTACCCACCTGCCCAGAAAATCTTAGGTTGTTTTTCCTACAAGACTCTCACAGTTGTTCCACATGGAGACCCAGAAAGTCTATCCAGCCAGATACACCCTTGCAGGATGGAGGGCAAAGGGAGAGGATAAAGAAACAGAGCTCTTTGTCCTGGAAAGTGAGGAAACAAAACGAGTTTCCCATGTTCCATACGGGCTGTACTAAGCTACACTCCCCCCCTCCCACTTGTCCCAGATTCTCACCTGGCAAGCCTCGAGGATCCCTTAAATAATCTGTCAGTGCCAGAGAGGACTGTTTAGAAGCGCTGTGTGGAAATCAGGAGGCAGGAGCAAGCAAGCACAGTATGGGCTGAGCCTTCTCTCCTGCCTTATTTATATTTGTTTATAGCACATGTATAGTGACCAGTTATATTCATATTACTCTTTTTTTATTGCACCAGAGTGACAGTTTCAAGAGGACAGAGGCTGTACTATGACATCTCTCCATTAGTCTGTAACACACAGTAGTGGCTTAGTAAGCATCTGTCATGTCCATATTTTATTTGCTTTTGTGACTAAACTATCCTTTCGTTGGTTTCCGTATATATCTTCTCTCTGGCATCATACTGAATTTCACTTTTATTTTCTCTTCTTGTACCTCTGGATAGGATTATTTTTTAAGGCTATCACTAGTTTTGAAGACTGAGTAGTTGCTAAATCCTAGTTTCTTAGTTGTAATTAGTCAACACCAGCATATTAATGGTTCAGCATTGGTTCAGCATTGAGTGTTTTACTGTCTAGAGGACATGCACTTCTGTGGTATTCTTAGTGAAGAGAATGCTAATTACCAAAAAGTGTCCTCAAGATTTTTAATACCACCCATGTTTTCAAGAGGGTTGGGACTTCTTGGGCCGAAGAGCTTAGAACTTGTATGGTTTATGGTTTATTAATATGGTCTATGGAGCTGTGGTTTGAATTTGACTTCTGTCAGTTATATCCTCTATGACATCTTTGACAGCTGTTTAACCCTTCTGCAGTTCATTTCCTGTGTAAATGAGATAGTAGTATTAGTGCTGTCTATCTCTTATTATTGTGAGGATTAAATTAATGATGATCAGGTACTTAGTGCCTGGTACTTGGTAAGTACTCTGCTGGTCTACAGTATCTCTGCTTTATTGATATTAGTATTAATGTTATTTTCACCATCAAAAGGTACAGTGCTATTCATTTAATAGAGATAATACTGACAATTCTGTCCTTATGGCAAATATGTCCCCCACCTCCTCCAGAGCCTCATCCCAAGGTGATCAGTGGTGGTGGTTTGCTTTGGGGGGTTGCACAATAAAAATTGGTTTTTGTACATGCAAAAAGAAATTCCTGTAAGCAAAAAGCAGGACTGTTAATCATATACTTGAGTTCTTGAAACTGAAAGGGTACACCATAGGTATGAAGATACTTGATTAAAATCCCAGATGTTTGTGAGAGAAAGTGGAGAGGAGGCGACTGTTACAGGCCCTTGGACCAGTGTCAATAATGATTTGCTTCTAATACAAAGACCATTGTTGCAGATTGCAGGAGGATGTTAACCTTCTATCCAATCTTCCTTCTCATTAGTCCCCATGACTCCATCTGCAGATAATACCGTAATTGAATTGTGCTGTTGGCAGTGGAAGTCCAGCCATGTGTTGCCTAATTACATCCCTGTGGATGGCACTAAGCAGCTGACATGGATGCTAAGTCTGCATAGAGCTTTACTGTGTAGACACAGGTTCAGTGGCTGTTCTGTCAGGCCCCTTTTGGCACAGGACCAGAGCCCCATGGTCAGGACAGAGGGCCACTTATTCCTCTTTGCTTTGGCAGAAGGTCACTCATGCAGTTATCTCTAAGATGTACTTATTGATAAGGGATAAAGACTGTTTTAGGACAGCTAAGAAAGAGGTTACCCATCTTTTGGGCCTTCTGCCAGCCCTGATTAGTGTCTGGCTTTGGATGAAGGAATAAAAGACTTCATGGGGGTGGGAAGTTCTGGTCAAGACTAAGATAGTTCCTTTGGCCCTTAAGTATCAGCCGTAGGGGTTGTGGCTGAGGATGTGGCTGTCATCCCAGTACTCATTAGCTGGTCTTGTCCACTCCTCTGAGTTACATCATCATAATCAATCATCAGTAACAGCACACCACCTTTACTGCCTGTCTCCCACTCAGGATTTATGTTGAGAGCCCTGTAACAGCTGAGATTTATAAGCTGGGTATATGGCAGCACATGTCTAATGCTAGTATACAGGAGACTGAGGCAGGAGGATTGGGAGTTTGAGGCAAGGCATAGGCAGATATTGTCACTAAGTAAAATAAAATATATACATACATGCATACATATCACCAAAGTTTTGAAAATAATGTTGTGTTTGTGTGTACATGTGGTGCACATGACATGC